ATTTTACTCATAAAGAAACAATATTTTAAATGAAAATTAATTTTTTTTTTTTATTTATGTATAACCATCATTACATATTATATATATCGTATATTCAAATATAGTATGACTTTTTAGTAGAAACTTAAGCCAACTACGCCGTAATTGTCGTATATCTCGTTGATGGAGCACAGATTGATGAATTGCGGATTGCGTCCGGAGCGGCAGTCGCTTCCTGCCCTATCGCCGCTCTGATAAACCGGCGCATTCACTTCGTTGCCCCGGACAAAATTACAGGTCATATACTGATGCGTACTGAGCAGCCATTGGCCGGCACTGTTGCTGATGTTGCGCGTCTGACGGAGTATGCCGCAACCGACATGGGTGGTGCTGTCCCTGACCAGTTGTGTGAAGTACGCGATGCACTTGCTAAGACGGAAACGCAAAATTCTTTCAGATTCAATCAGGACCGAACAACGACCCCACGCGATCTGTGTGTGCGCCAGTCTTACCTGTTGGCTGGCGGACTATACGCTATAATGTCACGCATGCTGCACTCCTTGTATTCGCCGAACATTTGCTCCAGCGTCGCCTTGATCACCTCATCCTCGGTATGGTACTCAACGGGACCGCTGCTATCGTATGGCGTACCCTGCCAGCCGCCCTCGGCCACCACCTGGGCGACATTGCGAAACTGATCGCTGTTGCGGCAATGATCATTGACCAGAGCACAGCGTTTCACATTCAGTTCCGCAAAGCTGGCCAGCTCCGGGTCCCATTGGAGCGTGGCCATGCGTGTGGCCGGATTGAAGCCAACCAGATTGCCGCCTGCGATCCGATCACGGTATTCGTTCATTTCATTGAGAATCATATTCCGTCTATCTGTTGTAATACGCACCACATGCGCATCCGGACTGCAGGTCTCTGCCAGTTCCTGCAAAAATCTTCCGCACTTTAATGTCGACGATACGAATGGGTTTTGCCTCATCGAACTTACACCAAAATTACTGCAGGCAATGTGCTTCTCCGGTCCCGGACAGAGCGTAGGATCACAATAGTCAAAGGCCGGAATCCTTGGCCAAATGCAGCACAACTGCCACAGTGCAGCCAGCAGCCAGTTAGTCCACAACATTTCGCTAACGCAGCCAATTTGCTCAGCTCTGGCCCCGGAGCACACTCTCTTATAGAGTTGGTCAGCAAATCGATTTGTCAACGCCAGAAGCGTTGCTATCTCGCCCAATAAGCAGCCCAAGACCCACACACACACACCCGGCCCACTGTCAATTGGCCACGGTCATGGCCACAACCGCATTGTATTTAGACAATTAATTAATTCATTMCATTTTGATACTCTGAGCCCATTGAAAATCAGGAAAATCAGGGTATAATGGTTTTGTGTAAGTGTATGTAACAGGCAGACGGCAGAGGCATAGCACAGCCCATAGAGCAAATATATATTCTTGACCAAGGTGACGAACTGAGTTGTTGTAGCCATGTTCATCCGTCCATCCCTGCGTCCTTATGAACGCAGAGATCTCGTAAACCACAAAAGGGAGAAACTTGAAATTGTACATGCATACTCGTGTATAGCATATACAGTACGAACTAAAAATGATTTTCCTATAACTCATTACATTTCTTTCTGGACAGACTCTATAATTTTTTCATATATATATAGTTTTTCATATATATATATATATATTCATTCATTCTTTTGCCCAGCTAACAAATATGAAAGCATTTTTGAAAAGCTGCACCCAGAGGGAAAATTTGTATATATATATAGTACTAGAGGATTTATTATTAATAGGATGTGTGTTTTATATATACATATGTATGCATATATAATAAATATATAATAAAGGCGTAGAATAATCGGAATATTAGTACATGGAAGGGTACAGATATACAGTACCGACGACAGCACTCTTATATATTTTTATTTATAGTTTTCTCATCGGTTCCTTCCTTTTCAGTTTTCTTTAATTATATCCTTGATAAAGGGTTCGCTAACATTTGATTTGAAGATATTACTAAGGTTACGTCTTCTCGGTATAAAATTATTATCGACTTGTTTACTGGGTTGGCATAAAAACTCGTATATATAATCCCTTTCCTGGATGCAGCCAATTGCTGGCACCGGACTTATTTTATAAGGTACCGCATCATTGACGTTAGCTCGATTCAAATTGCAAATCAGATTTGCCGAAGTGGTTTCCCCAGCTTCATTAAAAGTAGCGGTTGTCACACATCCAATTCTATTGCAACGATCTTCGAGTAGAGGCGCGTAGTGACCTAGGCAGGTTGTGTTCCTAATATAATAATAATAAATACAAAAAAAACACGCAAATATTTCAATAGGTATTTTCGATACCAAAAAATGAATCATCGTGAGATCAATATAAATTATGATCGTTCGTATTACTCACTTCACAGCCTTTCGCGTTATTATGCCATTAGTATCCATACTACAGCCAAACAAATCTCGAATCCAAATGTTGAGTAGATCCTTAACTGCAGTTTTTTGCCTTACGTCCCTTACAAAATGGGCCCCGATTTGCACAGTGGACACAAAATTATATGCTTTCGAATTGGAACAGTATTGGCCACTGGTATCACATGTAAACGCTAGCTTTTCGGCTGTATTGACCAGAAACTCATCCCACTGGAGGGTCGGCATATTTGCTGCCGGTGGATAATCAAATAGTCCACTGGCCACCATGTTGCGCGCGAAATTCAAACGAAACAGTACGTCCTCCCTCAGAGATCCGTCAATGCCATATAAATGATATTTTTCACCACATTTCTCATCGAATGAATCTAAGTTCTAAAAACCTTTTTTGAATACAAACAAATAATTATTATATTTAAGTTTTTACCCTTTTAGCGCACAGCACATGTCTTGTTCCATTGGGGCAGTACTTCTGATATGCACAAACTGATGCAACCGTATTGCTGACAATTGACAGCAGTCCTAGCAACACCAAATACTTTCTCATTTTTACGTGGCAAACTGTGCGAAAGTCTGGGAAGTTATACTCTGTTTTTGACTTGAGTATGGCTTATACAACTTCGATTCGTTGTGCTGCACGCCGTTAGCCTAATGAGCCATGCATTGTTGCAGATAAATCACTTAGCTATACTGATTAAAGCATGCTAATCTAGGTAAATTATATATTATATTAAAGCTATAATACTATTTAATATTATTTACTAAATATTTAGCAGCAGTTAACAAATATTTTTCGCTTTGTTCTAGACTTTCTCTTTATACAGTTTGATTTAGAAGTGATCAGAAAATGATATAAAATATGGGTGACTAATTATTTGATGACATAGATAAGCAATTCTTG